CCTTTCAAATCGCATCGCAAGTCCAGAAAACTTTAACAATAACTCGCTTTTTTTTCACGAAGACTTTTTTAAAATATCTTTAATTTCTTTTTTTTTTAATATACACATTATTAATAATTACTCCAAATGTGAAAAAAATCCGCCACTTACTAAATAATAAAGCAGCCCTATATGTATAAAGCAACATATTCTATCGCATGTTTAAAACTCGTATTTTGAAGAACAATAAAACAGGCTAAAAAAATTTAAGGATCCATTTGGCATTTTCATCGGCGAATCCATTTGCCTTTTAAGTGCTTTAATGATTTGTACAAAAATTTCTGGTCTTCGGGTGATTAATGATATTTGACGAATCATTATCTTGAGTAGCAGTAATTATCGAACGAGAGGCCTTGAAAGCCCTACGGACGCACTATAAGTATAGGTTGAGTTTTTTTTCTTCTTTTTAAATACCAGTAAATAAAGCAGACACACAAACGGGACGGCTTTCATTCAGCAGTGGACGGCGGTAGGCTGATGATGTAACATACCAATAATATAAAGCTATCTATTTAAACTCCTGTATAAAGTCTTATGTAGGATTAAGAAGTGGTAAAGAATACTTGTTAAAAATCTTTGGCGTTCACACTGAAATCCAAATATATATAAACTGGCAATAAATGTAGGTACAATATTAATTTCCTGTAAGTACATCGGGTCATCGCCTTTCCGAAATTAAGAACCCCTTCATACCAGTTGTATCCTGTTAATATTGATTAATTGAAAAACAGTCTCTCCGTTTAGTATTTTTAGCGCATTTTATCAATCAATGCGGATATCCCTTGAGAACCCCCTTTTCTTCGGGATACAAAGTACTACACCCTTAATTATGCCCCTCACAACGCGTAAGCGAAAGTTCATCATTAAGGCATATATTAGTTGGAATAAATGTTGTGACTGTGAAAAAACGAACCCTTATAAGATCACTCTCTTGTCCGTCTGCCCGTTCGTGTGTCACCACCGATTTTCTCAGGAACGGGTTTACCTAGCTAGTTGAAATTTATACCAGATACTCTGTAGTCCCTATTAGGTGTATAAAAATCAAGGTCCTGAGTCAACACGACAAAACCATATTTGCAAATTTAGATTTAATAATAATTGTATGCTTGAGATATGATTTTCACTATCAATGCAGAACTGCACATTATTGGGGATAACGGTATAGTATACGAGTAGGTATCATGAGATCATTACTTCTAAAAACATATTTTATTACGAGGTATTTTGAATATATTATATAATATGTAAGTAGCTGTTCCTCGTCAATATAATATTTAATTATTTTACGACAAAGTTATCTGAGTACCTAAACTTATTTAAATCATCATAATCATCAATAGCATTTCTTAGTTCACTGCTGGAATAGGCCTCTGGGCGGATAATACACCCTGCGAAATCATTTGCATATATTGGGCTGAAAAATGTGACTAACCTTTGTTTTTATTACTAACAATAATGTAAACACATTTAACCAAAAAAACTGTTAGTTTATTTATTATGAATTAGACTTACGCATTAGTTTCAAATTTTCAAATCTCTATCACCTTTTCAGCTCTTTGTTTCTTATTGTAGTTTTACCAAACCCTTTTTTTTCCGTGCGGAAATCCCCTCGGATACCACCTATCGGTGGCATGTCGGACTCGAACCGACTAAAGCCGCACGCCGTCTCGGGTACTAATAGGCGGGGAACCAGGTATACCCCTGGTGCTCCGACATACCTCGGGCCATCTACCCCCCCGGGAGTAGAAACCCCCCCCACCTCCCCCTATGTTCCCTCAGCTCTGCTACTCTGCTACTGCTGCTCACCTGTCACCCTCAGGCCTGCGCTTATGGAGGACGGAGGTCGTTCTGCGACCTCCGGCGCCTGAGTCGCCTGCGGTACCTGGCCCGTTCCCGAGTCGTCGTCCCCCCCCCCGAGTAGTCTCCTGCAGGAGTCATCGGGTCCCTTTATGTTGGGCAGCAGCCACGCCAACGCACGCGCTACCCCAACCAACTTGGGGACCAGACCTCGGAAATGATATCCGAAGTCCCATCGGCCATCGAGTACGAGCCCCAAATACCTGATCGAGGCCTCGATGCCGATGCGAGTGCCACCTACCGTGAGGCTAGATCCCTCAGGTGTCTTCCTCCGAAGCCCGTGGAAGAACAGAGCCTCGGACTTGTGCAGAGCCACCTCGAGACCCAGCCGCCGGATTCGCTCAACGACTTGGGCAACCCCGGCCGTGGCCCTCAGGGTTGCCTCGTGGTGCGTCTTGCCGCGCGCCGTCTCGAGCGTGTCGTCCGCGTAGCACACGACGGCGACACCATCCAAGAAGGCACCACGAAGCCCACCAATCGAAATCGAAATCTACCAATCGAAGGCACCACAATCACTCTTTCAAAGAGCTTGCACTATGGCCGGTAGGCGGACGGTGAGCCCGCGGGGCGCCCCTCCTTTCTGATGAGGACCAGTTTCCTCGTCTTCCACAATTTCGGAAACTGTCCCCAGTTTTACCAAACCCTAAAACTTTTCGCATGACTTCCTATGATGGTTTCTTGTCGCTTCATACCATCGAGGTATAATTCCCAGCTACGGTTATGGTTACATAGATCATAAAAAAAATGCAAAGGTACATCGTGTCGTAGTATAGTATAGTAGCGTGGTATAGTAGGCCAAAACCTCCTTTCTAAGGAGAGGCCTATGTCCAGCAGTGGACTGTTATAGGCTGTTGATGATGATGATGATGATGATCGTGTCGTAGTTAAAAGTTTGTCGCACACCTATACATAATTGGAGAAGATACTTAAGTATCTTCTAGTATTTATATCTTGGATTTAAGTACTTAAATCCAAGATATAAATACTTTACTAATCAATATTCAATATGGATCGATTAACAATCATAATAATATTAAAATACTATATATAATAAAAAAAGAGTTAGTTCACTAGTAAAATTATATTTTATCTCGTTTCAAATCTTTGAATGTGAATTTCTTAATGTTTAAATTATCATATTTATAAATGGATCCTATTACGGCGAATCCTCAAGTTTTTATTAACCATTTATACGTAAATATACGTTAAAGTAAATAATAAAACACCGGTCTTATACAGGATCATAACGTTACTTTGTCTTACGGTCTCGTATTTATGTTAGACGTTCGATCTCAATATATATCTTACAGAATAAAAATATTACTAAATCAACGGGTGTTGTGTTGAATCCCTCAGCCACACCTACATCAGCTGCCAATATAATCTACTACTTTCAAGCTAAAATGATTTGCATCCAATGTGTTTAATGACAAACGCTTACAAGGAGTCGAAGATGTTATAAATAAAGAATTAAGACAACCCTATTACAACTCATGCTTATAATTTATAGGGTACTTCCCGTTGATCTAGAACTATGAAATTTGGCAAGTAACATATTGTTATACTACAAGTACAGGGAAAAATCAGAAAAATATGTATTTTTAATTGAGTCATGAAAAATATAGTCTGTATTTCAAGTACGTAATCAATCAACGAGGTACGATATTAAAAATAAAACACAATAGTATAAGTAATGATAGGTTTAGAAAACTGAATTTCGAGAAAAGCACGGCAAAACTGAACTGGACTGTTTATATTAGTACCTACAAATTTGTACGGAACCCTCGTTGGGCGGGTTTTTGTGTTGAAAAAAGACAACTCTCGCGCTAGGAGTATAATCTTGTGTCGCTTGTGACTATTCAAACGTACCTGAAACGGACATAAAGAACACCGAGACTGAGGACAACAATTTGTGGATCACACAAAGTGATGTTTCCTGTGGGAATCGAACCCACAACACTTAACGGAGCATCAAGCACCGAGGTGACCGCTTAAACCACCACGAAATCCAAGTCAAGGTATTAATAATAAAATTTTCATATACAAAGCTATGACCTACATTAGGAAATGGTTAGTCGAAATAAAAGTCACTTACAAGCCTATATTATACTTTATTAACATTATTTATGTATACAAACTCAAAGCAGAAGGAATTTAATCCATAGCAAATTATAGAGTACGTTTACTTACCTGTATGATTGTACAGTCTTAATAATATACTCGTATGTTTCATTATTTACTTCATGAACGACATCTGTCTACGTACACATCTAAAGATCAGTTATCATAAATATTTGCAATACAGAGATAAAATATCGACAACCGTTATTTAGAATTTATTAAAGGAAAAACGAAGGATAATGGCAAAGACAGAATCGAGTGGGTTAAGAAATTTTAAGCCCGAAGTAAAGAAAAAACTGTTGTAGAAGTTCCTTCTTCTCAGGTCAGTGAGCACTACTTCAGTGTTGTTTAGTCGACTCAATGTAATCATTAGAATTGTTAATATTCGTTATCATACACGTTAATACGTGCACGGCAATGAATAATAAAAACCCCTGTAGAGGTGTCACCGAAGCATTGTCGACCTCTTTCTATTTACTGGTGACAATAATCATTTACAGGAATGCAACATTATGTAAGCACTCGTTTTAGCCTATACGCTGTATAAGGTGAAATAAATTTCTATTACAGATACAGCAAATAGAAGGACCAACGCAATTCTGCCTAAACGTTAAATTTTGTTTAGGTAGGCTTCCCGACACCTCTTAGGGAGGCAATGAAGAAATTAAGAATACAGTTTATTACAATAAACGTTGACCATGATCTAAGCTAACTATTATGCTAAAGACGTGTCGTCTTTTACAAAAATATAATGGACTACTTGTAATGTAATCACATATGTTTATGTAGATATTAATCAGTTGCTAGCTCATACAATAAAAAGGTCTATTAATGTTTCTGCGAAAGTTTATTCTTTACTATTTCTTTTAATAAAACCTTACATTACTACTCACAACCACAGTTTTGCTACCTACGAGCAATGTAGTACTGTGATATTACATAGAATCACTGCCATAAATAAATAATTACATGTATTTCTGTGGCTATAGACCGTTTTCACCGAGCCCAAATGGTGACTTAGCTGACGTCAAGAGGTAATAGTTTCCAGGTACCCTGAAATCAATAAAATATATTGTGTCACATAACCCATAAGAACATTTATTTAAGGCAAACCTAAGGAGTTACTCGAGTGTCATTTTTTTAATTTTATGAAAAGAACCTAGGTAATAAAAACCCTTGTCATTAAAATAGTTTAATTACATACATTGATAAAGACAAAGGTAAATGATTTCGTAATGGCAATAATAATTTTTATTGTAGAGTGGACCAGGAAAATAACTATACATATGTAGATGAATGACGAATACCAATGAAAATAAACACGTTTCACACATCCTACTTCACATTACATGTTGGTACATTTAAACCCAAAATGTTGTTTATTTTTTATTTTCTCTTAATTTACTCACCAACAATTATTATTATTATCACACTTAAAAACACTAACAGGATACATTCATTTAGACACGAGGCAGGTAAGCACCGCATACAAAAGAAATATTCCTATCGCTATTGTAAATGAAACTAATCTAAACTGAATTGTTAAAATAAAATTGAATATTAACAGGCGTCAACAGCATAATGGTTAAGGCATTAAATTAATACTCAGTGGTTAAAGGTTCAAACCTCAGCCTAACCAAACTAATCAAAAACAAAATCTACTCGAAGAGTATGTGCCGTACTCACGCCGAACGTTTTAAAAGTATCCGTATTGAATAAGAAATAAGCTTAACAAGTCACTAAGCCCATTAAAGTAAAATATACCATTTACATACATGTTTATTATAATAATTAACGTTAATTTAAAAAATTGAAATTTATACAACAAGAACTAACAGACTTTCTATAGACACGAATAGTGAATATATCAGAAAAAGTAAATGTCGTATTCTCAATTTTAACGACATTATTAAGGAGGCCCCTGCGCAGCAATGGATGGTCTGTGACTAAAATGATGATTTGAATTTTATACTGTTTTTTTGTAACGTCTAATATTGCAATAATCAGGCTAACTAATATTATACTGAACATTTTCTAAGCTTAAAGCTATATTTAATTTATGCAAAGTGGCATACTTAATGCAGTGTCACTCAAGTGTTTAATTTTTAGAGTCTGATGCAGGGCTACAGAGATGCTTTACTGCCTGTATAAAATATAAAGCTTTATCAAAATATGATGTGTACCAGCAACATTGCCAGTGAGTTGAGGGGTATTTTATCTTCAAGCCGCTTTTACACTCAATGTCCTTCTTCTGCAGTTCATCTCTTTTTAAAAAAGGTGCAAAGCAAGAGTTATGTTACGTCATGCAAAAGTCACATTGAAAGAAACATTTAAAAGAAATCCCTTGCACTTTTTTGGCAATGCTAATATTAATTTGATATTGGTTTGGTTGATATTGGCGTGAAATCACAAACCAAAATATACCTATACAAGTATATTTGTGTATTTTGTTAACAATTAGTATATACTATATTAGTATTTAATATATATTTTATAATTTGTAAGTAGCTGTTAATTATCTTCAAAGTTATCTTAGTAACCTTTTATTAATCATAATAATCATCAACTGCCTTTCTTAGTTCACTGCTGGACATAGGCCTTTGGACAATAATACACCCTTCCAATCATTCACATATATTGGGCTGAAAAATGTGACCAATCTCTGTTTTTATTACTAATGATAATCTACACACATAAAAGGAAAGAAATGTTAGTTTATTTATTATGAATTAGACTTACGCATTAGGTTCAAATTTTCCAATCTCTAGCACCTTTTCAGCTCTTTGTTTTTTATTGTATTTTTTCCAAACCCTAAAACTTTTCGCGTGACTTCCTATGATGGTTTCTGGTTGCTTCATAGCATCGAGGTATAATTCCCAACTGCGGTTATGGTTACATAGATCTAAAAAAAAATGCGATGGTACATTGTGTCGTCGTAGTTAAAAGTTTGTCGCACACCTTTTTTTCTTGTCTGTGCGGAAATCCCTACGGATACCACCCACCGGTGGTAATGTCGGACATGAACCGACCAAAAACTGCACGCCGTCTCGGGTACTAGTAGCTAGGGAACCGGGTGTACCCTAGGAAGGAAATCCCTGGAACCCGGGCCATCTACGGCTTGACCCTCTCGTGTGTAGGATCCGCCATACTCACCAGATCTTGCACCTACCGACTATTACTTTTTCCAAAATGTAGACAACTTTTTAGTGGGAAAAAAATTCAATTCCCGAGAGGCAGTACAAAATGCCTTTGAAGAGTTTGTTGTCTCCCGTCCAGCTGATTTTAACAAGAAGGGCATCAATGAACTGCCAATGCGTAGGCAAAGATGCGTCGATTGCATGGGTGATTACTTCGAATAACAGAAATAAAAAAGTTTGAAAAAATAAGTACTTTCACTTATTGCATACAAAACGGCAATTTCATAGGTAAAGACCTATTATTAAAATACTATATACAACGTGTGAGGGATATCGTAACGAATACTCAGACAGTGTGTTCAGACTATGATTCTGAGTCGAAAATTATTGGAGTTTCTTACTGGTTTTTTTTTAATGATGAAGAATAATATCAATGTGAGTAAACAGAACATTATACCGAAAAAAATCAATAAATACCGCATACGGTCAAAAACTGCAATGTAATTAATGAAACAGCCGAAGCGCGCGGGGCCTCCCCTCCGCCAACTTGTGTTAGTGTGCGTAGACTGTTTGCACGGAATACACATGTAGTTATTACGTTTGTGCGCAACCTACGGGGAATAACCTTAACCTTTGAAAGCTGATTGCGTAAAAAGTTTAATTTTCCGGTAGAAAATTCCAATGATTTTCGACTCAGAATGATGGTCTGAATACACTATTTCAGTATTCGTTACGACGTCCCTTACATAATAAATCAAAAAGTAAAAGAAATAATAAAATAAAAAAGCAAACACGCCAGTCCACTAGCAAAATTATATTTATCTCGTTTCAAATCTTTAAATGTGAAGTTCTCAATATTTAAATTATTATATTTATAAATGGATTCTATTACGGATCCTCAAGCATTTTATTAACCATTTATACGTAAATATACGTTAAAGTAAATAATTAAACACCGGTCTTATACAGGATTATAACGTTACTTTCTCTTACGGTCTCGTATTTATGTTAGACGTTCGGTCTCAATATTTATCCTACAAAATAAAAATATTACTAAATCAACTAAAGGGTGCTGTGTTCAATCCCTCAGCCATACCTTCATCAGCTGCCAATATAATCTACCAATTTCAAGCAAAAATCATTTTCATCCAATGTGTTTAATAACTAATCACTTACAAAAAGTCGAAGACGTTTTAAATAAAGAATTAAGACAGTCCTATTACAAGTCATGCTTATAGTTTATAAGGTACTTCCCGTTGCTCTAGAAGTACGAAATTTGGCAAGTAACACATTGTTATACTACAAGTCCAGGGAAAAATCCGAAAAATATGCATTAAGTCAATGCAATTAAGTCATGAGAAATATAGTCTGTATTTGAAGTACGTAATCAAATTTAAAAATAAAATACAACAATATAAGTAACGATAGGTTTAGAAAAATGAATTTCGAGAAAAGCTCAGCAAAACTGAACTGAACTATTTATATTACGTACCTACAAATTTGTACGGAACCCTCGTTGGGTGAATCCGACTCGCACTTGTCAGGGTTTTATATTGCCATTAGGTAAAAGCTTTTATTTTAAGATTTAAGTATAAGTAATAAATAAATAATGTGGTAAAAATAGATACAGACCTGAGGGTCGTTAATACCAAAAGGAATAACAGTTCTTTAAATACATTAGCGATGGCCATATTTTATTTTTCACTAACACATTGAGAGAGAGCATTCACCACTGTTTCAAAATGTAGATTAGTATTAACTATATTTTAACCCGCTTTAATACTACATTATAATTCACTTCTATCTAAACAGATCTTAAAAGTGAATTTTTAAACTACCGGGAGTTGGTTAAAAGTTAAAATTCACTTCTAAGATCAGTTACACATCACTTCTAAGATTGTAATATTATGGCTTTTTAAATTTCTAATCTAATTACTTTTAAAATTACTAAGAGGTTATTTAAATAGCGTTAAAAAGATGTGCAAGTTTTTAATTAGATTACTTACTAGCTCTCATAATTTCTAACGATTTTTTAATATGTGATTTAATCTGTTTTTGTATAATCTGTTGTCGAACGCAGACTGTCAGTGTTATTGTAAGTGTGAATTATTTGCGGCAATGCTTCTTGGTTTATTCCAAGTAGTTCCATGAAGACAGTTCCTCATGGTACTGATGTAACATTAAAAACACGATTTTTGTCCCATTTATTCCATGTAATTTTAAACTACTTTTACAGATGACATTGTTTTTTTTTAAACAAAGAAAAGCTCGAGCAAACTACTGAACGACTATTTTTTTTTAGCATAAGTAAACAATGACTGCACGGATGGCGTAGTGGTTTAAGCGGTCGCCACGCCGCTTCCTACTGCTCCGAGTGTTGTGGGTTCAAACCCCACATGGGACGACACTTTGTGTGATCCACAAATTGTTGTTGTAAGTCTGGGTGCTCTTTGTGTCCGTTTCATGTATGTTTGTAAATTCCCCCGCGACACAGGATATATTCCTAATGCGGGAGTTGTCTTTTTTAAAGATAAGATAAAGAAGATAAGAAAATGTTTCATGATCTGATGATGATGGTGATATAATCAGTTAACTGCATATGCATTTGAGTATTTAATATTATAAATGAATATTTAAATGCACACAATTTTATCTCACTCTTACCTTCTGGAGAGAAAGGAGTACTTATCCGTGGTACGCATCCAGGCTGTATTACTCTACCAACACTTCTATAGTTTGGCCAAAAGTCAACGGTGCCCAAGGACCTAATGGTGCCATATTTATTGGGATCTGAATGTATAATGTCCACAAAGCGAGCTGACTTGGGGCTTAGCTTTTCCTCAGGGAACTTAGAATCGAAACCAATTCCCGCGGGGTCTAAACCTGTGATCCTGTAAAATATTTCTGTATAATTTCTGTTAACTATATAAGTAATAACAAACTAATCACAAAAATATAAAGCGGTTGTGTGACAAACCTAAGCAGCTGTGGATACCATATTTTTCTACTACTTATTAACTATATTCAGATCGAAACTCATTATTGGTTATAGCTTTTTCATTTTTGATCTGTACGGTTTGTGACATTTGTGTAGAACTGAATATAACTTCTTTAGTGTAGCATATAGCTAACTACACCTATTAAAAGTATCATAAGGTATTTATTTCATTTACTAATTTCAGCCTCATTCGCTAGGTGTAACGTAACAAATATTTGCTTAATACCGATTTGTCCCAAACTCCAACGGCAATTGTACGTGCCTTAATATTCATGTCCAAAAATCAGGAGATAACGAAAATGCAAATCAAGAACGTATAAATAAAGCGTAATTTAATTCGATCTTCGACTTAGCACCTTCTACTCTATCTAATAGTGTAAGGGAGTCTCTGCAGCTGTTCCTGGGATTTTAGCAATTCCTAATTGTAAAATTTGTTATAAACTAATTCTAAAATTGAGGCTTGAAATATTTACCATGGCAACAGTACGCCTTTCTTAGCAATTAGGTTGCCAGCCATACCCATGATGTGAGCTCCAAGTGAATGTCCCACTAAATGCGTCTTATTCAAATCCAAGCCGGCATCAGAAAGTTTCATTAGAATTTCAGCGAAGTCGACACCAAGCTAATAAAAGCATAATTACAACGAATATTAAAACAATGGTCCGGTTTTGGTTATGAAATATTGATGAAAGGCTCGTAATTAAAATAAAACAACATAGTCATCGTGACGAATTGCGATGAAACATTTTTCTCGAAGCAAATGAAATCGTTCCAATAAACTCAATCTGTAATTTTACACTGATTGAGGTTACCGGGATCGAATGAAACTGGCCTATCTTTGAACTTTTCATCTCCTATTTAATAAAACTGCGTAATTAAAGAATTCTGAAATTGAAAAATCTGATTTAGTTCAATGTTTCAAACAAACTTACTACTTTAACTTTTAAATATACTCCCAGTAGTACCTGTTAATTTCAGACATTAACCAAAGTCCTAAAAGAACAAACGATGGTGGTAACGGATGTAATCGATCGTTATCAATGTCTGTTGCTTAGTTATTTTTTAAGAACCTGTCAAAACTCTGTCCTTGTTCTAATTACTATAAAAAAAGTAACTTAAATGTTAATATTTACCTTTATGGAGTTCGGAACAGCCCAGTTTAAATACGATTGCGGTATAGCGTTAAATATAGAAGCGGCAAGTCGGTCCCAATTTAAAAGAACAACATTACTTTGCCCTTGTTCCAGATACGCTTTCATTATAGCAGTTATCGCAGGTCCTTCGGGATGACCTGAAGGAAATTATTTTTATTATATCCGTTGCTTTTGGTGCTTTAAGGCCATTATAGTTAAAAAGTCCAATTGCACGTAAAAAGCCGGCAAAGTGATGATATTCCTCGTGAGCCACGCGTAATATCATGACTTTTAAGGATTTTTAAGCAAGAAAAAATGGATTGTTTGAATCATAAAATAGAGTTAAAATAAAAATAGACTTAAAACTAAAACTTTAAATTTTGTGAAACTTTTAGTGTCCATCTTGTTCAGCGTATTTTTTTATTGTATATGGACAAACGAGCAGACAAGCCACCTGATGGTAAGCGACTACCACCGCCCATGGATACCTACAACTCAAAACTCATAAGTTCGTCACCGCCATTTGAGTCCCCCATAAATATGGGTAAGGGGGGCTACATTAACCTCACTCATTCGGTGAAAAGCAACGACAGAATCGCTTAAACTTAGTCAAATACATATGAATAATTAATATAAATAGAAAAATAGCTTGTGTACCTGGTAAGGCACTAAAGAAGAAAACAGTTGCATTCCAAGGTTGCAACAACCTTGATGTGTAAATTACTGTTTTTTTTCTAAATGAGGACGGTATTTACCTAAGTTACAGTACAAACATCGGTGTTAAGAAATTATTTCGTGGCTTTTCACCGAGTGGATAAGGGTAAGAAACAGAGAAAGAGCAACAAATCCAGTTACAGGAATGAAACCCGGTCGAGCATGCTTAGAAATCTGTCATGAATACAAAGAAACAAATTAATTTTATTACTTTCATGCAAGTAAAATTCAATTATAAACAATATATTTTAGTGTATATAAAACACAATTTATTTTAGTGAAATAATGCTATTTCAGTAAAATAAATTGTTTAGTATTTCATTTTTTTAGGTAAATGGTGACCCGGATTTTCGTTCTCTAGTGTTTTCATCAAATGGACCCTCAGCCTTTAGAAATACTCCAATATTTAAGTTATGTTTGTATTTACTACCAAAATACTAATCAAGTATGTCCGTAACTAATGTGAATATACAAAAATTTAGGTCAAGAAAATCCTTTCAGCAAGTTATTGTTGTTTAAGTGACTACAATTACAGACACAATATTGTTGGAGTAGACACATCCAGTATTCTTATTGTATTTTTAGTATAGCAGTGCTTAGCTTTCTTTTCTGCTTTCTTTGGTTCTCAGAAAACATATAACCTACTTATTTACCATTTGTTTTATAAAGTCTTCGAAAAGAACCTTTAAGAATAGATTCGGAGGCAACGATGGCCATATAAACCAAAGGTGATGTTTTTAAATAATGTTGAAACACGCTTGTCAATATTATTACTGAGATTGTGAATGACTAAATTTTCAGAGACCACCAGTAGAAAGCGCTTTATAGGTTCTAGTTAGTAGTAGTATTTTAGAAACGTTCATATTCAGTTAAAGTTAGACCACAAGCAGATTCTAATATGATCTGATAAATTTAATTATGTAATAATACAAAGTCAAAGAAGGCAATGACTCTTATCTGTGGTAGATATACTTTGAATCTGAGTGTGATAAGTCGAAATGGTTAACCATAGGTATTTGAATCGCATTTAAAATATATCAGAAAACGAAGTTTAATTAATACAAATGTGGTGGCTTTTCCTGGACATTACTTCGGATTGAAATTTAAAAGTGAACATCCAAAAATTTAAATAGAATGTAAAAGTTAAGACATAACATCTTCGATCTTTTATATCTACATAAATGGTAAATTATTATAGTATTGGAATATAATGATTTGTCTTTTGTTATTAAATTTTAAAATTAAATTAAAATTTTAAAGTTACCTGTAAACCCATGACAGAAAATAGTCGTTGTTCTGCTAGAATTGTACCAGGTTTTAGAAAAGATTTCTGTTGCTCTATCAAACGGTAACTCTGTGTAGTCTTCGAAAGAACTGTAATAAAAAAAATACATGTAATACAGAATTCAAGCACCTATAACGTACCTGTATAACTGTTTACGTATATATAGTCGATATTGTATTTGTATCAGAAACACAATATCGACTCCTGGGTTTTATTTAAATTTTCAGCTTCGTCTCTTCAATTATTAAGAGAAAATGTCAGATAACCCAGTTATCTAATCTGTGAGGGCGGTACTATTGTTTTTTTCCCTATTCAAATAACAGATTGAAACTCAAAGTTCATTACATTTTCATTTGTGTAGAATGATTAGATACTTACTTGTAATAATATCTGAGCTTCGCTTGGTTTTCATCGTCTCCGAAAACTGTAAAGAAATCTTTTCTCTCAGTCTTATCAAGAAACTTACGCAATACAATTTAAAGACAAAAAATTGTTATGTTGTACTTTTAATGGTGACGAACATTAACACAAAATTAAAATAGTTATGGAACTAAGTTGTTAACAGTGAAGAAGTTGTGAATGTACCTAACTAGTTTTTTAAGTAAATAAGTATAAATAAAAACTTTATACAGCTTTTTTAGTACAAGAAGGCTAAAACAATAAACACGTGGACCATGAACCATAGGGTAGGCCATGTCCAGCGGTGGACGTCTTTTGACTGAGATGATGGTGATGATGACGAAAACGATAAATGAAAAGAATCCAATTTTATCTCACTTTATGTTTTTGTAATTTTTTATTAAATCTTAAAAAATAAAATTCGTTATATAATAGGTCTTTACCTATGAAATTGCCGTTTTGTATGCAATAAGTGAAAGTACTTATTTTTTCAAACTTTTTTATTTTGCCAACGCATTGGCAGTTTATTGATGCCTTAAATCAGCTGGACGGGAGGCAACAAACTCTTCAAAGGCATTTTGTACTGCCTCTCGGAAATTGAATTTTTTACCCACTAAGCATGAACGCAGATGTGTACTGTGAAGAACTGGAGAGAATGATGGAGAAGCTTGCACATCTGCAACCAGCTATTGTTTGTTACGCTTTCACGCCTAAACCAATTTGAAAAATTATTTCACCAATGGAAGGCCACATTATCAGCGAGTAACAAAGGCTACTTTTTACCACGATAACCAACATACACAAAAGCTAATGATAATATATAATAGATAAATAAGTAATTAATATTTAATATAATATGTAATATCTTCCATTCGTAACATACAACACGTTTGTAACATACTATCTAATCGTAATAGAAATTACGTGTGTATAAAACAATTACGAAAAAGTATGTATGTTAACGAACCTTCGACTTCGGAGCCTAAGTCGAAGGTTCGTAACATACTTTTTCGTAATTGTTTTATAGGTCGCAACATCCGATTGATTTAACACCTCTGACTAGAACTTACAATACATAATGTTTAAATATCGATTTTTTTAATAAGTTGGTAATACGAGGTTAGCAATTACGAGTTTTAACGTGTCTCATTACATGCAAGCCAGTGGCATTCGTCTTCTTTTAACAGGTCTCGAAGTATTTACTACTAAATAAGTAACAGTAGTGAATGCTAAAACTGTTAGCTAACAGCTAACAGTTTTTACATACATGTCCCACGTGGTATGATCTCAATACCATTCCTTTTTAACAACAGCTTAAAACACAAATTAGTATTTTTTATGAGTTCCTAATATTAATGGGCAGTCATGGTAACATTGAATTATGTTTATACACGTCAAATATATTTTTTAAGGTCCCGTACTCCTAATAAGGAACCTTTATAGTTTCTCCATGTTCGGCTGTCTGTTTATCTGTCCGTCCACGATATTATTAGTCATCATCATAAACAGTTTTAAATAGTCCACTGCCGGACATTCTCTCCTTAGACGGGTTGGTATAGGTTTTGTTTCAAGTTTTCCTTCTATTTGCAGTGCTGTTGTCCTGCGTAGTTTGCTCCCTTAGCCGGCTCTTACACGACACGCACGGGATGAATTAGGGGTGGTGACACTCCGTATTCTTAATCCGTCACCACACGAAATATATCTAGATAATGGGAAGGATCTCTTAAAACACATACGGAGTATCACCACCCTTATTCATCCCGTGGGTATCGTACCCACGGGATGAATAAGGGTGGTGATACTCCGTATTCTTGAACCGTCCCCACACAGATAGAAAATTTGAATTTACTAGAAAGTTACTAAAAAATGAATTAACGCCGAAAAAGTAATAAAGTATGTTCTACAATAAACTTTGAAAAAAGTCTTGTGTAAAAATACATAGAAAGCTCTTTATTTGAACACCATTTTGAACACGCTTTTGTAAACTTGGTATGTACCTATGTAACGGAAACTTCGAAAGTGATTTTGACCCACTTCAAAACGTCAAATTAAATTGAAACTTTACACAAATTTGGCCGATTATCCTGAGCAGGATCTTCAGGATTAACGGCTTTTTCCATAGGTACCTAAAAATACGGTAGTGTATTTTGCTACATATTAAGAGCCGTGTGCTGAAGTATATGTCACTTACTCACTTGTTACTTTTGTACTCTTCATGAGAAAATAGTCATCATTAATTACTAAAAAACGAAAAAATTATTATAGTTAAAAAAACTGATAAACACGCTTTAGTAACTAGCCGCATTAAATAGTAGAAAATCGTTTTCTATAAGTTCAAAAAGAAAAATCATTTTATTGTAAAAAAAGTGTAGGGTGCTTTTCGAGATGTTTTATAATATAATTACTTTACTTTTATACCAATATCTGTCAATAAAATATTTTTACAGCAATTGAGATCTAGAATCCCACGCATTTTTAGGATAAAATGATTTACTTTTTATTTCGGCTAGTCACAAAACCTTGTTTTTTAGTTTTTTAAACTAAAATTTACTAAACAACTAACTGATAAAACTGACTCAAAAATGGATAAAAACAATCTTGGAGGCTGGTGGTATATTGTGTCAAACTTTTAGTTTAATTTGTATAAAACGGTAACCAAACTGCTAATCCAATACCATAGTACAGGCTCTGCTTAGTTTGGAACCAGACTGCCGTGTGTGAGATGTGTGAAGTTATTATTATTATTGTTTTCTGTCTAAATTAATAAGCAAGTTGGTTTGTATACGCTTCAAGAACTTAAAAAAAATATAATTTATTATTATTACGATCCTAAGGAGAAAACAATCTCTGGTGTCATCTCCAGCCTCAAAGCTTCAAATGACTTTAGACATTTTCGTGTGTGTCATTAAGGAACTTAAAGCGTACTTTTAGATAGAAACGGTCTCTAGGATTGAGGCAAATGTTGTATGAGTACTCTGGGGAGAGCGAATTGGCAGCCTCTTGAGCTATTGACGGGCTCCAGAAACGTGATCGTATCTTTTTAACCCGAATACACATCTTATACAAACATTTTAAGTACTTCTCCCACATGTATATTGAAAATCATTTTTTTCATCTATCTTAGTGTGAGGTAAAATTTGGTGATCTTTCAAAAACATTGCGCTGAGTGTGCAGACTTTTCGATTCATGATAATAATAATAATAAAAATTTTTTTTGCGAATATGGGTACAATAGTAAAGTTGTTACAAAGGTAATTTTCGTTCCTTCATATTCCACCTTGTGGCATGCAAATATTTCAAATACAGTTGTTTATATTACAATTTCACTAAAACAGTTTAAACTTAATCTTAACATAATTCATGAGCCACGTCTATGTAAAAATTACAATAAAAAAGTTAATGTCAAAATTTATGCCAAAATAAATTACAATAATTATGTCAATTAAATAGTAAATTCAATTTAATAGTATTATTACTTACTTATTAGTATATCAATTAAATAGTAGATCATGAGTCAAATTAACTAGATTGTAGTAAAGAGAATTTAAAAAAGAAAAGCATATTGTTTATATTAGATACTAGCTGAGACCCGCGGTGTTACCCGCGTTAGTTGTTATAACCGCGGGCAACGTCGCGGGGCGAAGCTAGTCTAAAAAAAGTAGCCTAAGTTACTCCTTATGTCATCAGCTATCTGCCAGTGAAAGTCCCGTCGAAATCGGTCCAGCCGTTCCAGAGATTACCCGGCACAAACAGACAGACAGACAGACAGACAGACATACACACAAAAATTTAAAAAAATGATATTTTGGCATATGTACCGTGTAAACATACATATGCATTTACTAAAAAGCGGTTATTTTAATATTACAAACAGACACTCCAATTTTATTTATTTGTATAGAGTATAGATTCATGGCGACGGCCATTTAAATGAGTATAAGTGCATTTTTTTTACAAACATAGCCACCTCCAACATATACATGCATGGGAGAGTGAGTAAATTAAGACTTTTTAAAATTCGTTACCAGCTGTCAGTAGTCTTAAGTCTATAAATGGCTCTAATACATTGCTTTTCTGCTTTAAAAACATACTCCCAGTTAGTAGAGTTTCCCCAAAAGATTATACCATAGCGCATTAATGATTCTGCATATGCATGATATGCTGTTATGCTGATGTCATGATCCGTTCGTGAATTAAATTTTCCAACATTTCTTCCTGCTATGGTTCTGAAAATCTGGACAAAATCAGCATGTTTGTATATAGTATATCATGGCTAACTTAGTTGCTCAAATTGTAAAATATAAACATACAAATTTCTTAAAAATATTACTTTTCTGAGTTGTTATTTATTTAAACTAGCTAGTACCCACGACTTCGTTTGCGTGGAATTTGAAAAGCGCTGCCTTAGTGAGTTCGATTCCCAGACCATGCAAAATTTTGTAGGGTTTTTCTGAGAGAAAAAATAGTCTAAGTTCCTCCTTATATAGACAGCTACTTGGTACTAAAAATTTTTCGTTTCTCAGATTACCCGGAACAAACAGACACACAGAAAGACAGACAGACAAAAAATATTTAAACTGGTTTTTAGGCATAGGTATCGTGCAAATAACCGTGTAAGGTTGAAAAAAACCTATTATTATGACATTACAAATAGACACTTCAATTTTATTAATTTGTATAGATGGGTAATAGTTAACTATATAACCGTAAACTGCCCGTCACCCGACACGCACTTGACCGGCTTATAGAGGATATCGTAAAAAATAATTTGTTAATTCATTATCCAATACTCCTAAGTAGTCATATATGTTGTATAAATTGTTAATATGCACGCATGGATACTTTTTTACTGTGTCAACAGCAGTGAACTCAAATAAAATACATTGAAACAGTGAAAAAAACTGAAATAGCAGATTTTAACTTTTAAACCATTTTGCAGGAGAGAAATTGGTGGACACAAACATTGGCATACTGCTTGCTTCAGTTGCAATAGAAAAAAAAATAGAAATGTATTTATCAGCAAACATAACCACACGAACATGTCATATTCGAGCTGTCAAACGCAGCAAAAAATTTGTCGGACAATATCGCCGCTGTAATTTATAAGAAATTATTAATTAATAGTTCAAAATGAACTATGTATTTGTAGCAAAACAAAACATCGTGTATCCGACATGTTTGCGTTGGTAGACAAGCTATTTGCGGCAGAATTTTTGTCGAACACAAACGTTTTCGAACTTGTTAGAAAATCATGCTTCTAATTTATTAAAATGAAATACGTATTTGTTAAAAAAAGAAGTAATCACGAATTCGACACATTTTAAAACAGCGCCAAAAAGCAGCACATTCGACAATTGTCGTAATAAGAAAGTTTGGTAGACTGTTTAAAATTAAGCTACGAACAAAAATTCAGATAAATTGGGTGACGTAGGTACTGCGGACTATTGTCACGAAAATACAACTAAATGCCCTAAAGCTTTCGAAAGGTAATATCTAGGAATATACTTATAATTAATTCAGATAATCCTCTAACTAAAATTCAAATATTATCTCGTTATTCATACAAAATATACAGCGATTTAAACCTACGCTTTATTATTTACATAAATAAGGTGGATTCGGGCTACAAAATATTCTGATTTAAATAAACAAAAAGAGATCTTATTATTCTTAAACAACTTTCCCATGTTATACAACATCATTTTAATAATCATATATAAATACAATATCGTATTCATTTAGATTAAGTCTCTCTACTCCCCAAACACAATAAACAGATTAAAAGAAAAATATTTTAGTCCATACTTTTCTTATGATACTCATATGAAATGATCTTATAACAAATGGCAAAGTGATCTTTGCTCATGCGATAGAAATTTTAGCCTACATTCCTTCTGGATTAAAATTATATATTTGCCGCTGATCTCTGTTTTCCACTGTTGTGCGAATATCGGTCAAGCCATTTCCGAGATTAGAAAACAAACAGATGACGTGAAAAGTGCTGTGTAGAATTTTTAAATATATTTAGTAAATAACTGTTTTCATTACATTACAAACGGACGGAAATGATTCAGGTATCTGTGACTTAAATTAGATATGGCAGACAAGTTTTTTTATCTACTAAAACACCTATAACTCCGAGTAAGTATATATTAGTCTCGACCTAACGAGTGAAACTTATAAAGTCTAACCATACTATACTACTCGTATGGTATGGTTAGACTTTATGATGATTAAATTAGTTTATCTTATTTACGAGTTGATTTCGTATATAAAGTGCTTTGTTACAATATCTGAAACTTGAAAAATAACGATAAGTCTATTATTTTTGTATTCTCAGTTCTATATCACTAAATGCTAAGTCATCAGTCTCCGATAAAGCTCGCTTAGGCGATATTTGTTCTTTGTTTTAAAAATACTCTCAAAACGAGACTTCCACAAAACTGGTTGTCCGGTGGTGGATCGGGAATTGTACAAAGTTCCGCTTCCTTTCACTTTGAGAATTTTAAAAATCGTAATCGAGGTAAAGGGACTTTTATAATTAACTCCATCGTAGCGGCATAGTAACTGTTTTTCAAATATTTCTTTGTAAAATAACGCAGAGTGACAGTCTATAGCATTAAACTAAACTAATTAAGTATAAAAGGATCCTTACCAGTACCAACAATAAACAAAAAAGTGTAAACACAGGTGAACATTTTGCCAGTTTTTCACGAATGTCTGTTTCCAGTTTCGCAATGTCTATATATAGGGGCCGGTATCACAGTATTGCACCATTTACTACTTTCCTTGACATCATCGCAACTGATTACAAATAGAGGCCTACGCTCATATTCTGGTAAATCTTTTGAAAATATTATTTAGTACGCACTCGTTTCCTTTATCTTATTGTTTGGAAAGTAAACGATAGTATTGCAATTTCATTAATGGACTATTTAAACAGGTGAATTCGTTGCAATGTGGTTATTTTATATTTTACCACAGAGTGGGGAGAATGTGAGATGCATTACAATCAATTCCTTAAGTAAAGTTTTTATACTGTTTATCGTGGTATTCATACTTAGGGGTTTGAACTGAATGTATCGAGGTATACCTACCGGATGATGGAGTACGAAGCAAGGACAGTTGTGGGTGTGTGAGTGGCCCCTCAAATTATCATCGGTCATCCCAGGAACTACTGACTCTATCGTATCGATGTCACTGATAGTGGCCATTTCCAAACGTGTAAGAGCACAGAGTGCTACTCTTATGTTCTGACTGAAACATGTACCTCACGAACACGAATTTGCACTCAATCAGTAAAAGAAAATTACTTCAGCTGCAACATTTGCTTAAGCTGTGTCCAACTTAGAGAACGTAGCGGTTGCTCTCTAGAATGTCACTTTACCGCGGCCCGCGAACGTCAACGAGGACACAATCTTGCAGAGGGACTGACTTAACTGGACAAGTAGATAAGATTCTCATTTGCGTGCTTGCGACAATAGCACAAGATGTTTCCTAAAGACGCCAATGCGAACTCGAAATGTTGTACCAACGTAGCTTGTTCTTTTTTTAAATTTGTATATTGTTGAGATATAACTTATACACGATTGGAATATTACCAACAAACATGATTACATCAGCTCAGTATTTTGCATATCCTTTTCCACATTTACATTAATATTGCTATTCATCGGTATCGTAACATTTTGATGGTATAGGTGTGGTACCTATACCATCAAAATGTTACGATACCGTACCGATTTGTAAATAGAACTTTCAAGATATTTATAATATTCTATATAGAATCTACTAAAAATATATTAAGATACAAAGAATAAAACTAAATTTTAGAACAGTAAATCGGATACCGCTAAAGTAAGCATTTGTTTTATCAATTGTTTTTTTTCAAAAATAAATATTATTTGTCAAAATAAAAACAGGAATTTGATAAAAATCTTCATTTTTAATGAATTATCAATTCCGATGACGGTGGCAATAACATAATTAGCCAGAATCTTTCGATCAAATAAACGTATCAAACAAACGAAGCCAGGATCTCAACAATAAAGCTAGTTTGACATTATGTAAGGTTGAATCTGTATTCGCCTATATTTGCACGCCAATATACATATTTGGTGATGGCGGTGCCACAACCCCGTTTCAGTAAATATTTTATTTATAAATTAGAGAAGCATTTATTACAAGTTATTGAACTCTTTATCTAAATAAACATATTATTGTTATTAATCATTATATGTTAATAAATTGAATGGCACGAAACTTTGTTTGTATTAAATTTAGCATTATTACCCGAGTTCACAGTTATACATTCGCTGCAACAAAGGATATATAACGTAGTTCGCGTGTGTGTATAGATACTATAGATGTTTAAAGATTACCTATCTACACATAAGCACTCTATAAGCAGAGGCAAATAATTAATCCTAAGATTAATTAACTAGGCTAATTCAGGTCGCGATTTTAGTGCATTTGTAACGTGATGATGATGAAACAACATACATGTGTTTATCAATTAATTCAAGGACTTAACCTTGCCTGAATTTGTAAAAGTTGTGTTTAAAAACTGTTTAAATATATATTTGGCTTGAACTGTCCCTCTTTTAGAAAGTCTGACAGATAATATTATTCACTACTGTTCAGAAGCCTTCACTATTTTTATGTGGTAAGACTTTCAGGTCACATTCTCAGCAGGGCCATAAGGTAAGGTGGGATATCGGACTTGAACCGACTAAAACTACATAGAGTTCCGTCATTAGGTCATTTGCTGGGGTCTCAGGTGTGCCCTAGAAAAGCAATCCCCCGATGTGAACCCCGGCACACTTGATAGCTTTTTGAGTTAGGCGATCCCACTATCATTTGCGGAGGGTCCTGTTTTGCGCAATTCTTGCCACAGGGTGTCCTACACTGTGTTTCAAGAACTCGTCTCCCGTCCTATCCCAACGGTTACCAGTTTTTCTTACTAACTTTTTTAGCTATACCGGTTATCTTAATTCTGAATTCCAAAACTTCCTTAAAGACGTTTTACCGCCGAGTTACAAAAGGCATAACTCTTTTTTAGCCCGCTGAGTGACTTTGACTCTTTAGTCCAACTTGACCATGAGCGTGGACTCACCTTGGTTCCGTACACCATTACAGATTTTGATATAGACAACATTAAAACATTCGTAGTTTTGTTTGTTGTTCAAATATTGTTTTAGCTTTTGTTTTAGATTCAAAGACGTAATATTGCAAGCTAAAAATGTAACAGAATTTTATTTTTGTCACTGAATAATTTAAGCTTTTAAGTAAAACATTTTATAGAACGATTATGTTGGTAAAAATAAATGACATGAACAGTGTTTATTTTCAGATTAGTCAACCTGATATCACTGAAATTAATTGTTTTGTTGTTTGTACTATTATTTTTGAAACCACTGTCATCGTACATAGCTAAAGCCTCGTCTTAAATGAACTAACAGTGTAACCTACATTTAGCAACTAGTACCTTCGCGTATATTCGTCTATTTGCCTATTACTGTATTAATATTTGATAACAAGACATACTTTCTGTCATCAGAGAATTCTCTTGGGTTTAAAGAATTTTATTCTCATAAGAACTTACAGTTAGTTCACTCACAATGAGATACATAGTTATTAACTTATGACTAATACAATATTCATCTCTTAGCATATTGGATGCTACAATGTACATACATGTTTCTTAAGCCCGCTTTTAAATGCATTTATATTATTACTATCCTTTAATTCTTTTGGCAGTCTATTATACAGCTGTGCCCCCTCATATAGTATTGTTTTTCGTACTTTCGTTAGTTGTAATTTATTTATATTTCTTAAATTATGTGTGATTGGTTTTGTGTAATTGTATGTTAGTTTGAATTTAATTGTTAGTAATCTTTTTAACTACAATGCAAGTATGACAGTCTTACAGTTGTCTGAGATTCAATAATTTAGTTTTTTCATATAGTAGTTTAGTTGGAGTTAGACAATGGTAATAGAATAGCACCTTAATTATATTGTTTTGTATTCTTTGCAGTGTATTCAAATTGGTTACAGCTGCTGATCCCCATTAGATATCACTGCTATCTCAATTAGATATTCAAGATGTGACCTAATCAAAGAGTTATAAATAGTAGTACGGGTTTTGGTTGGAATGCACTTTGATACTTTACGTAATACCCGATATTAACTTTGTTCTTACGTGATCTATGTGTATAGTGTCAGGTGATGAGTATAATTTTAGACATACACTAGGATATTGCCCGTGTTTACGTGATACATGTTAGGTATTTTGTTAGCTAAATCTGCGCCTACTGATGAGAAAAATGAGTTAAATAAATCACATTTTAAATTATCTTCCGTAATAATTTTCGAGTTTGATATCAGTTTGGGGGGAGCACCGCTGTCTTTTATTTTATTTAAACCTAAGTTACCAATGAGCTCCCACATTTTCTTAGGTTGTTTTCTACATTTATGAAACACTAGCTGAGACCCGCGGTGTTACTCGCGTTTGTTGTTATAACCGCGGGCAACGCCGCGGGGCGAAGCTGGTCTAAAAAAAGTAGCCTAAGTTACTCCTTATGTCATCAGCTATCTGCCAGTGAAAGTCCCGTCGAAATCGGTCCAGCCGTTCCAGAGATTACTCGGAACAAACAGACAGACAGACAGATAGACAGACAGACAAAAATTGTAAAAAATGTTATTTTGGCATATGTCCCGTGTAAACAAACATATGCATTTAGTAAAAAGCGGTTATTTTAATATTACAAACATACACTCCAATTTTATTTATTTGTATAGAATTATAGATTGTATGGTAGTATTTGACGTAAAATGTAATCATTAGGGTTCGATTTCGTTTGTTGCCATAAAGTATTTCGTAGATTTATAGCATTAATAATAGTTCGATTTATCCAATCTTTTTGGGGTGGGTTCGAAACTTTTGATTTATCTATTTTATTCTTGTGTATCTGTTCTAGTATTAGGTTTTTTCCTGGAGATAAGGTACTTTGCCGCTGTAAAAAGTAGCCTATGTGTTATTCTAGGTCATATTCTATTTGTGTAATAAATCTCATTCAAATCTGTCCTGGCGTTTTAGCGTGAAAAAGTAACAAACATACACAGACACAGACACACACACACACACACACACACACACACACACACACGAATACACACACACAAACTCCTATTACACTTCGTATTTACAATATTAGTGAATAGTCCGTAAATGAATTAATATCTGCTTAACGAATTGACCAATTTTAATGATGTTGAGACAAAAAATTGTCCACTTGAAATTATCTGGATGATGAAATACTTTAATTTATAATGTGTGAAATATTGCATCTAAGGTATGTAGGATATTTAATAATTTTAAAAATATAAAAACGGTTTTTATAGCTTAGTTGTTATAAATAAATATAAACCCTCTCGAAGTTTAGTGCCTAGATCTTTTTTAGTCCTACAGTTAATTAGCACATTATTTCGTCTTATCTTTAACCATTTAACCAGCGCACGCAAAGAAAGGAAATTTTTGAGACGATTTTTACACCTTGGTTAACATAACCTGTTTTTTTTGCACATGTCTAAGTTTTTTAGAAATAAATTATAGCCTATGATACTTTCTGCTTTCTATTAGTGAAAAAAAGGTTAAAATAGGTCCCGTAATTATGGAGCCTATTCGATACAAACAAACAACCAAAACATCGTTCCTCTTTATAATATTAGTATACTCGTAGATAATAGGAAATGATTATTAAATTATGCGTGGACTTATTTAGAAATTCAATATTAAATACATACCGTTAATACTGGTATATTTATTTCTAGTGCCATCCCATATATCTGATTTTGTGTCGCAGCACTCACGGTGGTCAAGAATATTCTGTTTTAAAAGTCGTAGTTTCTTTTTCCCCTTTTAATATTTATATCAAAATTCGACATACTTAGCATTTAACTCGCTTCTATTTATTTCACTTATAACTTACAACTTTGACAGTCTTCTAAACCGTATCGACATCGTTTCGGGTCGTAAATGTAATTTGAGTGACAATATTATTATTTTTGCGAATCTCAGTGGAGGTAGGTGGTTGGTGAAACTTTTTCTTTTCTGAGCATAACGGCGGAGTTCCACGCACTCTCGCACCGCACCATGGTCGCAATCATGTTGCCGAGCGAGAGAACCCCTATCCTGATGGCCGCCACGAAGTCACGCCTCTGCTTCACCACGCCGGGCATTCTGTCAGCATCTGGAGCGCCATGTCCACGGTCCGGCTATCGCAGTGGTGGCCCTCAGGCGTTGGCTAGATTGGATTAGACACAGGTGATCACCGAAGCATCCTTTCCCGGTGATCACCAGGGTCAGTTGGTATGAGAGCGTCCCGTGATCCAATCCCCCATCGGTCATATACCTCATAGACTCGATGCCGATGCAAGTGCCTCCTACTATGAGGTTGGATCCCTTAGGTGGCTTCTTTCGAGGCCCATTAAGAAACAAATCCTCGGAATTGTGCAGAGCCACCTCGAGACCCAGCCGCCGGATCCGCTCAACGATATGAGCAACTCGGGCCGTCGCCCTCAGGGTTGCCTCACAATGCGTCTTGCCCCACGCAGACACGAGTGTGTCGTTCTCGTAGCACGTGACAGCGACACCGTCCGAGAAGGCACCACGAGGCACCCAGCCGATGTTCCACAATAGTGGCCCTAGCACGGTCGGAGTTAAGGCCACTATTGTGAAACACCGCATGACATTTCGGTCCTACTTGGGTAGACGACTCCTCGGTTGATGAAACTTTTATGATTGGTCTAATGGCGAACACAGGAGATCGATACTAGCACTATTTTCTACGTTTAATTAGTACGCTAATTAAACGTAGAAAATAGTGCTAAAAAAATATGTATTTCTAAACTATAATATACATTTATTTTTTATGACAATCTTAATCAAATTAGTAGGGGTGGGGACCGTATTCTTAATCCGTCACCACACGGAAAATCACTCAAACAATCAGATCAGGAAATCAGAAATCAAACCACATAATATTTAACATACTATTTTATTTTTTATATTAATATCCTTCGCAATCACGTTATAATATTTATGATTACAGTTTAATTTTGGAATGGTATTTAATGTAATTTAACGATAAGCTTAAAAATAAATAAAAAAACATATAAACTGGATACTATACAACGTTATCCATCATGCAACCGTTGTTGTTGAAATATAGAACGTGGCAAAGAGCAGATGAACGCGACTCTTTGGTGTAATAGTTTCTTTTAGTGAACTATTTGAAACTAAAAGGAAATTTGAAAATTAATTCGAGAAATAACATTCAAATAGAAGAGAAGTGTCCAGGCACAAACTAACGAAAGCGTCAAAATCCTCACCAGGCAGAATAAAAACGTCATTATTACACTTTCACTTAAAAACTATGTTATTTTTTCCATAATTAAAATTGTTATTTGTACAAAATAATTCAACGAGTGTGATAAAATATAATAATTAGGTTAAAAATACAATACAAAACAATATAAATACCTAATTACGATCAATCTATTGCTAAGTAATGCGTACAACAACCTGCTACAACTAACAGGACTGAGCAGAATAACATTTTCAAAGCACTTTTATTTTATAAACAATCAGAAACAAGAATGATTGCATCAACAAATAAAAATTAGGAAATTATAAAAAAAAATTGAAGATTTTTAGAGATAGAGAAAGAAGGATTGTACGGAACAGTAAAAAGTCGAAATATGTAGTTTAGAACGCTAAAGAAATGATAAGTTATGGACAGAAGGTAAACAAATTAACTTAAAATGAAAAACTTTTATTCATTGATGCAATCTACAGGTACATAAACACTTTCTTTCAAATGCATCGCAAGTCGAATAGAAACGTTCCAAGGCCAGAATGTAGGGCAAAGCAATACTTCTTATAGATACTTGAGTCTCGAACTACGCTCTTACCTTATTTCACTCATGTTATCCACTAAAGGTTTTTGCTTTAGAACGGTAGGAAGTGGACAATAATTGAAATAAGATAACTAGGTACATCCGTTCATCTAAGATATTCAATACTCATGAAACATCTAACATATTTTATAATATCGTTTATGAGAATAACATATCATTATCATTTCAAGCTAAATTCTATTGAGAAAGATCAAACTCGTATTAAATCTACGTAAAATAACACTTCCAAGCTCATAAATTATTTACTTGCAAAATCCATTAAAAAGACGGTGATCCTCAGATATAAGTTACAGATAGGTATCGTGCGATAAATATCATCGTTCACCATTCTCATTCAAGGTACATACGTGTTCATTCTATAATACTCGATACACAGACGAGCATTTCGGTCGGGTCCCAAAATTTCCATTAAGTCTACGCCTGCAAAGCGCATAATTAAATATAATCCGGCAAGAACATCGCATCGGGCAGGGCCCCGAGACGCGCGTCCGCTTCACGAAGAGACTAGGCGAATCACGAGCTGCGGAGCCCTCGAGTTCAATACTGGCGATCGTCGTAGATGTAGATGGCCTCCCCGGCGGACTCCTTGAGCGGGGGCGGCGGCGGTGGGAAGTCGAGGTCGCCTGGCCGGAACAGCTTAGAGGCGTTGGGCGCCGGAGACGCGGGTGCGGGCGAGCCGCTGCCCGGCGACCCGCCGCCGCGCCGCTTCACGCCGCTCGGGGACGCCGCCGCGCGGAACGAGGACCGACGGGCCAGCCTGACGGACAATTATCATAACCGTTAAATTAAAAATCAACGGTAGTCGCACCGAACTCCCTCATAACGTGTTTATGAATTTACCTGGAAGCTACTTCTTCAGGCGTTTCTTCAATTTCGAGTACCCAGCTGACAGAGTCATGTTTTTCTACCACTCCCTTGACAGCAGGTAGGGGCGGTGAATCGGGTGCAGGCGAGGCTGCTGGCGAAGGGGGTGAGTCCGGCTCTGGTGAAGCCGAGCGCCCAGAGTCACCCGACGATGTTCTCGCACGCATCGGTGGTCTCTCTATGTAACCGCCACCCGCGAGTAGAGATACGACCTGAATAAAAATATAGCGTTTGCGGATGCGGATTACAACAAAAAGTTTAGTTAGAGACTAAATCTTAGAACGCACTAGCGGTTAACCGAAATGCGGCGTGCCGTCGCGGTTCACCGTAGCCTATACGGTCAGCCGCAACGACACGTCGCATTTGTTCTATTACTATCCGCCATAATCGTCAGTCGGTCTAGAAATATTGAAAATGTATATTTATAAAGTGGGGTATTCTTTGACATTTAAATGAACTTTGCCGTGTCAAAATTCATGACCAACATGCGATAGCTAATTAAAATTCAAAATAATACAACCCCTACCCACATCATCTAGCGACGGATTTTTGCTGGAAGTGACGCCTGTGGCTGACCGCATCGAGTGCGGCACACCGCACAGTTTAAGCGGCCCGCCGTAGTCTCGAGAGAACCAAACGGTAGACGGTTGGCCGCACGTCAGTGCCTTGACATCATGCGTTTTCATATAAAAATCACAGTGCGGTGAACCGCCCCGGCACACCGCAGTGCGGCTAACCGCAAGTGCGTTTTAAGCCTAACTTTGGTTAATCCTCGTAGTAAGTACCTGTGACTTCTGTCGAAGTTTATATCGTAGTTCTTCGTTGAGCGCCGCCATTCGCGCGGCGTGGTCGCGGTCTCGCGCCGCTACGTCACGCAATCGACGATTGTCGTCACGCAGGCGATCGGTGTCGCGTTGACGAGCGGCCGCGCGCTCTCGAAGCTCCTCGGCCGCGTGTCGAGCCGTTCGCGCGTCGCGTTCGGCGGCTATACGTCGCTCTCGCTCTGCGGTCAGTTCAGACCGTGCGTCGCGCAAGGAAGCGACTTCCGCCTGCTTCAGTTCAATCACTGCTCGAAGTGACCGCACCTAAAATAAAACAAACTAATGTTAAACGCATTACATGTAATTATATGAAAGTTACATATCCTAGTGAATATTTTTCTTGAAAACTGAAGTAAGCGTTTTTCCAACTTGCGCGAGATCGCTCTAATACCGTGTAATGTACTAATACCGTTTCACTTAAAGTTTAAGAGCTATTGACAGAAAGTTTCTTTGAGACTAAAACTTTTTAACTGCGGTCAATATATCCATATATCAATATGTACAGCATACTAACCTCAGCTGCCAATTCGTTAGCATCTGTACTCAATTCCTCATTTGCAGCTAATCGCAGTTCGCAATCTTCCGCCTCACAGCACACGGGGTCACAAGCCGCGTCGCACATGTTGCAGGACTTATCGACCGAACTGGCAATTGAAGAATTGAACAACTTGTTGTGATCTATCTCCAATCGCGCAGCTTCTAGTTGAGCACGAAGAGTACGCTCTATTTCGCTATGCGCGTGTAGCCGCGCTCTGCTCTCGGCAACTTCATGTTTCAAGGACTCGATCGTATCCTATAAACATAGTTGATAGCTTCTAAATTGGGTAAACATCACATTCTTTTTATATGTTTACATTGTTATAAAAGAAAATTGTATATTTTAGTAAACATAATATAGTTTTTAACCCGAACGATTTCACCATCTGTGTGCTCACAGATTAGGAATACGGAGTGTCACCACCCCTATTCATCCCGTAAGTATCATAAGAGCCGACTAAAGGAGCAAACTACACAGGGCAGAAGGAAAATTTGAAACAAACCCCATATCAATCCGTCCGGCCAGCGTGGTACAGTTATGCCAAAATCTCCGTTCAAGGAGAGGCCTAAATCTAGCAGTGGACTATTAAACTCTGTTTATGTGATGTGATAATTGCTATTGCTTTTCAGTACCTTGAGCCCCTTGATATCATCGGCAAGTGCTGCAACCTCTTCAATGTGCTTAGCCTGGAGACGCGCATTCGCCTCTTCTTTCGACGAGACCTCCATCTCCAGCTCTGAGATCTTGCTCAGGCATTCTGCGACTGGAAATATTACAGTAGCCCCCTTTAGCATGAAGCAAAAATAAATAATTCGTCCAAACTGGTCAAAATCATTTTATTTCGTTTCTTTATAAACAAAACGTGTTTGATAGAAATAATATCAAGAAAAAATATCAATATCGTAGGCAGTTCAGGGCCTCAATTCTGCTATTTTATGTTCACTTTATAATTTGAAAATATATTACGTTTTTTTTTGAGGAAATTATTTATTTATTTTTCCAAATATGACAAAGTTTTTGATATCACCACTGATGAGCCACTGTAAAGACACTGAGTTAATGTAGACTACCGATATTTATACCGATGCCATGCCACTCGATGGCATCTCAATAGCGTGTCAGTGGTATGACAGTGGCTTGACGTGAACATAAAATAGCAGAATTGAGGCCCTGTTTTATGTCACTCCCATCATTAAAGGAATGCATTGTTTCATGTCATACCTACGTTGTACAGTAAAGCCACTTTGAGTTTTGCCTTTTTTGTTGCATGAAACAGGTACTTTTTTGTTCATTCCTTAAAAAAGTTGTAAGGTTTAATTGTATATCCAATTTTTCTTACTAATAGTAAGTGAATAATAAGTATTCTTTCAGTATCTAAGTATCAGGAAATCTCTAGATGGTGTTGATATTTCTAAGGGTCTAAAATTAGCATTAGTGTAACTTACTGGTATCAAGATCTTTTTGCGCACGCTGCTGCCGGTCGCGGTCAGCGCGTGCGGCGCTACTGCGCTCAGCCGCCGCCACACCGCGCCATCGCTCTGCTTCCACTCGCCATGAGCTGCCATTTAGAGCGTCTAACTGAAAATTTAGAATTATATGTTGTATTAAGTTTATTACAACAATCCTATATTTCAGGAATCTTCTTTATCAGATATAAAGATACAATATCCATTCGATGAACGGTTAAAAAAATTGAGTTTAATACCTTGCAAAACTGGCAGGCAAAAGATTTTCAAAATTCCTTGTGATCTGTGGTTTAAGTCCTCAACTAGACTCTGTATAACACGAACGAGAGAAACACCCAATGCCTTTGGGTGTTTTGGTATGGATATCTGATATTTCTCTTTTGACCAAAGCGATGCATAATAACTACCCTTTGAATGTAAAACCGTGGTAATTAAATAATGTTTAATGATTTTTACACTTACTTATTTCTAATTAATAGTTAAAATCAATTTAAACCAGTTTTTGTTTACATATATATATACTTACTCGAAACACTAAATACTGGACTAAAACGCCCAGAGCTTCAACACCCTTGGCGGCGTGCGCAAGCGCAACCGTATGCTCACGAGGTGGCGCGGCTGGCGCAACAAGCGCTACGGGCGGCGTGCGCACCGGCTGCGGCGTTTGGACCCGCTTACTTCGCGGCCCCACCGGCGCTGTGACACGTGGTGGCTCTGTGATAAAGCAAAGGTTTTGTAAATATTTAATTCATGTAGATTACCTGGCGCCACCTTTATTAAGGAAGAAGCTGTTCCAACGCTAGTCGATAAAAGGAAACCCTGCGCCTTCCAAATATCATTATTACCTATTACCACCACACAGAACATTGTGTCACTTAAGGGCGAGGCTTATTGCTATCGGGTATTATAAGCAGTTATGAAATCGCTAACTGTGTCGGTACCATTCGAAGTCACGATCAACCGTAACATGTGTGATTGTGCGTAGGCTTTTTTAAGTTGTTAGACTATCACTATCGTCCACGACACTACAATAACCCATTTCCCTTCGTTGACACTTAATTTTCCTGCCATAACCAGCACTAATGTACTACTTAGTGATGTTCCCACGTTCATATATTGAAGAGAGATCAGCGTAGGACCCCTTACAAGAGGCATTAACTTGTAAGTGCATGCTTTGTCTATTCGCCGATTTGGATTTCGCATATTATTTTATTTTAAATTTTATTATAGATATATTGATGACACTTAATTTTGCAGAAGCATTCTCAAACTGTATGTAAAAATAGGTACGTATTGATTAACGTAACCTGAATTTAAATGGCACAAGGGTCGCAGAGGTAAGCCAAAAGAATCGAATTTGAAAAGATTTTAATTTGTCGCTGCGGCTAATAGAATTGTTTTGACAACGATCAACCGTTTACCATCAAACAGCCAGTGTGATTTTATAAAACTTACTAGCTTTTGACCGCGGTTTCACCTGCGTATATGTCGGTTATGTAAAATAGCTTATGTTACTCACTGATAATGTAGCTTTCCGTTGATGAAAGAATTTTTAATCGGTTGTTTATGCATAAAAGACATACAAACAAACCCACTTTCACAATTACAAGTATGGAAGTATAGATTGGTATGAAAAATACTACAAAGAGGGGCAACTTTTAATCTCAGTACGTTTTGGGACGTGAACAGGTACCGTGGAACTTATTGTTCTCTGTTAAGCCAATTTACAGAACAGCATGAAAATGCATGGCCACTAAAAATATACACGGTTTACTGTTTAATTGTTTGTTATTCCTAACCACAATGACATTCCTCCCCCTATCACGATTTGAATAATCAGTTAATCGACCTCTAAAATGTACTCTCATGTGTTAACTGATGTTAATCTATTATAGTGTCATTCATTGTTTTTAACACACGTATGTAAGTGCAAGTGCATGCTTTAGTAACAGTTTGTAAATGAAGCCACGGACGTTTGATAAAATATCACAATAAATTTGCAAATTGAGGACATTACTTTAGGGACTTTTTTAAGACATCGTATTTTGTTAGTGTATCTATTGTAAGGCTCGTGGCTAAGTGGTAAAAAAATATATCAAGTCATCGGCTGCTCAAGCTCCCATAAAAGAGTTTGACCATAATAAAGTGTTATTGTCATTTATGAATTTGAGCAAGAAAATATGAGTCGTACGTAATTATATGTATTGAGAAAATGTATGTAATCTTAATCTACAAAAAAATGAAACGGGATCTAAGTTCATAACTAGAAGATAAACCATGAAAGTATAGGATTATGATCGAGAATCTATTGAGTAAGGTAAACAAGGGTAAAACTTATACTTAACGTGTTACGTATTCGCCTATTGTTTTAACAATCATACTTTTTCTTCGTTTGCTCAATACTACGAGATCAAAGTTCTCATGCAGACAAAAAGAATAAATAAAGGGAGACAATTTACAAATCTGAGGTAATTTTCACACCGTTACTTAAATATTATTATCCAACAAGTCCATGTAAGCGCTTGTCGATGAATATGTTGTAGTGAGTTTTGACATAACCCCCTATTAAAAGATGTAACGAAACAACGATAATTGTTTTTATTTAACAAAGGTTTAGAATTTATACTCTCATAATAATGTTTTAACATTATGTTTTAACATTATTATGAATGTAATGTTTTAACATTATTATGAAACGTGTTTCTTGTCATAACCAAGCAAAATGAAACGTTACTCCTTTGAGATGAATCTAACTAAAATGAATCAATTATGTGATTAAAGTAAATAAGTCATCAGAAGTTATGAAATAAGGACACATCGCGAACATCAAATTGACGCTGCCTGTTTTCAGGAAGATTAAAGATCTCCCTGCCTAAGTTAAACTCGAGTCTAAAACATTTTTTGTTCCATTTAAATATTTACTGTAGGTCGATATAACTACTAGTAACTGAAATAAAACACTAAAAAAATAAAATTTTAAACAGTAAAACAACTAAAACACGCAATAGTATTTTAAGACGATAATGTCGCAGTGTACGATGAGCCGTTACATCGACTAATAAGAAGTGAAATTGTCTGTGTTCCGAACACGTACCGACATTGGCCGTAGGCTCTTTTGATATGAATATTCCAAACAGTATTGTTGAGGCACGCACGGAACATCAATTGAAATACTATTACTTTTATTGTTACTAGTATTGTTTATTAGTTTTATTGTTATGCGGAGTTCGTCCTATTTACTAAGATCTATGTTCAAAGAGAATCGATAAACAACGCTATCGATCAAATTATCCGTGAAACCGGTTTCCTGTAAGCGGAGATTTAGGAAATCATTTGATATCCGACCTTAAAAATAAGAGAATATATCAATTTGACCCTTAATAAAAAAGTGCATAATAAATGTTTACATAATATTAAATGCTGGAAAAAATATATCATATATTAAGAGTAACATACAACTATACACACAGGCGGAAAATACTGTATCTGTGTGTTTTCTCGACTTTAACGAAACACATATATTTACCTTCAGCATTTTGTGTCTCATGAAAGATATCCTTAAGTCCTAGTTTATTTCAATTTTCTGATTTATTTATTTTTTATTAGAGACACTTCACAATTTTAGCATAGTTAACAACTTACCAACCTATTGAGTAGCTACGTTTTTGTCCATGTTATAATTCTGAATATGTACCTACGTATTAAGGTGTTCTACGAAAAAAAAACTGTAAGATAAGGTATATTTAAACTTTAACCTAAAAATATAATAGCGATGAAACACATATAAAAAGTCAGTTGCTTGTAAATCCATAACTGTTCCCACGCGGTCCATTGCATACAGTCAGTGTTCACGCGTCATTAGAGCTATAGCTACGGCCAGCGCCCATTTCCGCCACGTGGTCCGACTAGAGTTTATAAAGTTTTATTTTTTCGGTTTACCGATAGCTCCTGTCGAATTTTTTGACAAAATTTTAATTTTTAGGAGATGCCTGTGCATGTCTACTAAGATGCATGTTCAGATATATTTTTTAGAGTTTTTAGCATTTAGAAAATTTATCAGACTATTTAATTAGGCAATGCTTATTTGAAATGCTTCACAAAACAAGAATATTGAATATTTACTAGTTAATGTGTACTAGTCATTGTGCTCATAAAGCATAATTATTGCGGATGATGGCCCAATAGTAATTTTGTGAATGGCCGGTTAGAGGGTCAAGCCAATGCGTGGGCATCAATTGTGACTGTTGAAACGTAAAATTAACATACACTAGGGCTGCCATAATATTAAAAAAAAAATGCATACATTGTTTTTATCTTTATCGTGTTCTTATTTCAGTTTCAAGGGTGAGAACATGACGGATTATAAGTGAAGCAACAATGAAATCATACTTAATTTCTTTAGTGTATTTAAAATTAGTTATGTTATAAAAACTTGTATGAAAAAATATGTTATTATCTAAGCACGAATCCTATTAAATTCGATTTGAATTCTTACATTTTTGCATACACGATTTACTCAAACACATGTTTTGTAATTCTGTCTTTAATCAACCCTAGCTATTGAAGTACATTAAACATATGAGTTTTACACGTAGTACAAGTGAACGTTGCGCCTACGCCTCTAACTTACATAATTTATAGAACATTTGATGAAATGAGTACTGTCATTTTTAGTTCTGTTAATAATTGTTGTATGTGAAGCTAAAAAATATCCTATGACTGCCTGCATTTAATATTTAATGGGTACTATACTAATATGAAGTGATAAAATTAATCGCTATATCTCAGAACAACGGTAACCTTAGCCTTCAAAAGTCTAATGACATTAATACACACTGAATTAACACATCAACTACAGTTAAAAAGGGATTATATAAATATTACCGCAAGTTCATACCACATGTTTTACTCTTTTTCCATGTTGTAACCAATCATACATTTCTATTACTACAACTTAGATTAGCTAAATATAAGTCGAACACGTGGCAAAAGAATAGAACGGAAATTTAAAATTACTAAATCCTTTTTATTATAGTAGGTAAAAATGTTTAGTACAACGCATTGACAAGTTTGAGTTTAAGCTAGTGAAGTAGAGTAAGACGAGAACTGCTCCATGAACGGTATGGAAAATAAACCACAACTTAGCACTCGGTTTACTAAGTTAGCAATTTAAAAACCTCATAGATACAAACCACAAAGACAGTAATTACTATGATGGATGCAGTCGATTGACTGTTTTGTATCAGTATTCTACTTACAGAGTAGGGTAACGGGTCTCGAGGCGACCCGTGTCTTGAATACTATATTAGACTAGACAACACAAGTGTCAAAACTATATTTTACTTGTTTTCAGTTCCGGTGTTATACGATTTCCTGCAGTATATCAACAAGGAAGGAGTGCAACTATCTTTTTAATTTTGAATATTTTAACGTGATGGGTCTATTGGCTTTGGAGGAGGTAGAGTACATAAAATACAGAAAAGTAATGTTTATGACCTATGTATGATAAGTGTACATCAGTGGAGCTCATGGCTGATTGGTAACTCTTCAAGCAAATTACTTGTTTCGACTAATGCATAAGATAAAGGTTGGTCTTATAGTGACACTAGGACGAACAACCTTGAAACTCATTGCAACTTTATATTTTTGGTTTTATATTTTTAGTAAAGTATAACTATTTACACTATGCTATTAAGATATAACTGAACTGACGT